TTTAAGTTATTTTTATAATTTTATTTTTAATTTAAGCGGAGTAGTAAATCACAACCATAGAAATTATTATATATTATTATTAATTATATATCATTTTATAAAATTACTTATTAAAGTTACGATAAAATCAGATTAATTGTGACACCACTAGAATTTTAAATCTTAATAAAACACATTCCTTCATTCATTGAACTGGGAATTTTCTTTTTATTTATTCCGAGTTTTTATTTTCAAATAAAAAAAATTGGTCTAAAGAGTTTAGACAGTACTTCCCTCGCTGTCGGAAACTTGACGACTGCATGCCTATTGTGTTTTTTTTCTCATTATATTTTTGTAGTGGGAATTTAAAAAAAAATTGCGATGACGTCATCAACATTTTTGCAAGGACACGTATATCAGTTGGGATAGATGTAGTGTATTACTAAGAATAAAATTATTATATTCTCAAATTTTCGGGAAAATGAATTGGGTCGTTTTGAATATTGATTTGTAATAATCAATAAAATAACGAAACAATTTACTCACGTATACGTATCACAGGCAACTGAAAATCGTGTATGTATAAACATTCTTAATTTAAGATGACAGGCGTAACAGCATACGTGAGAGTCAAACAGAGAAACTGTAAACAAAACGACCATCGGTTTTATTGCTTCGACTTCCGCTTATTATATAAAACATTGGGTTTTATTTTAATTCTTGACGGTGAAATTCACAATTGGTTGATTATAAACATGTCTATTTCACATTCGCGGAACCAAGTGAACGCATAAAACAAATGCAGGTCTGTAATGTTAAAGTCGATGTAAATAAGCGTGCTACCCTTATGTTTCAACCGAGTTTTTCCTTTAACAAATTTTGTGTCTACCAAATTGGGTTGGTCCAATGTAATACTAATAATAAGTGTTGCCTTTAATTTAATCAATAAAATAAATTGACTTCATTAATTTTTTTGAACCACCTCTTAAGAAAATCTAAAAAATATGAATGGAATGATAAATCACAAGTACAAACTCATCATATTTTTTGGATTTTAGATAGGATTTATTCAGCAAAATTTAAGGGTGACGTCATCAATTTTTTTAGGAGGGATGAACAAATACATTTTGAACAAAAGTTTACCATGCTTATAATAACTTTAACATATTCCCAAGATTTCAAAGCATTCGGTTTTGTAATTCCTAATTAAATCGATAAAATAAATTCACGCCTTCATTAATTTTTTTGAGTCACCCTGCATATGCAAATCCAAAAATATGAATGGAATGATAAATCACAAGTACAGACTCATCATATTTTGTACATTTTAGATACGATTTATTCGGCAAACTTTTGAACTGACGTCATCAGTTTTTTGTAGAAGATAACCAAATATATTTTGACTAAAAATTTATTATGCTCTTTATAACCTTAAAACATCTGCAAGATTTCAAAGCATTCGGTTTTGTAGTTCCTGATTAAATCAATAAAATAAATTTACGCATTCATTAATTTTTTTGAGTCACCCTGTATATGCAAATCGAAAAAATTTGAATGGAATGATAAATCACAAGAAGAGACTCACCATATTTTGTACATTTTAGATAGGATTTATTCAGCAAAATTTTGTGGTGACGTCATAAATTTTTTAGGGGGGACGACCTAATACATTTTGATCAAAAATTTACCATGCTTATGATAATTTTAAAATATCTTCAAGATTTCGAAGCATTCGGTTTTGTAGTTCCTGAGCAAATCAGTAAAATAAATTTACGCTTTCATTTATTTTCTTGAATCACCCTGTATATGCAAATCCAAAAAATATGAATGGAGTGATAGATCACAAGTACAGACTGATCATATTTTGTACATTTTAGATATGATTTATTCGGCAAATTTTCGAGCTGACGTCATCAAGTTTTTGGAGGGGATAAGCAAATATATTTTGACTAAACATTTATTATGCTCTTTATAACCTTAAAACATCTGCAAGATGTCAGAGCATTCCGTTTTGTAGTTCCTGATTAAATCAATAAAATATATTTACGCATTCATTAATTTTTTTGAGTCACTCTGTATATGCAAATCCAAAAAATATGAATGGAGTGATAGATCACAAGTACAGACTCATCATATTTTGTACATTTTAGATATGATTTATTCCACAAACTTTTGAGCTGACGTCATCAAGTTTTTGGAGGGGATAAGCAAATAATTTTTGACCAAAGATTTATGATGCTCTTTACAGCCTTAAAACATCTGCAACATTTCAAAGCATTCTGGTTAGCAGATTAAAAATTAAATTTCAAAATGTTGTTTTATAATTTTGATTTTTTTTCCAAAAATCTGGACGTTTCGGGTGAAAAGTCAATTCAGAGTTGTAAACTACATGTGTAGGACTATGTTATTTTATACAATTGAAAACCCATTTACTATGTACAATTTTGAAGTGACGTCATCGCATTAGTGGTGGGGATGATTAGACAAATTTTGGTTAGCGTTTTACCATCTACATGATATTCTTAATATAAGTACAAAATTTCACAACAATCGGTCTAGTACTTTCGGAGATTATCTGTCTAATAAAAATCCGGGACAACAGACGGACAGACGGACAGACGGACGGACAGACGGACAGACGGACAGACGGACGGACAGACGGACAGACGGACAGACGGACAGACGGACAGACGGACAGACAGACGGAAATGGGAGACCTATTTCTTCGTCTTCTAGGGGTCATGAAAGATCGAGAAATCGTAAAAGTAGAGAGTCGGCCGACGGACTCGATTACAATACTTCCTTTGCTTACGCTCGGGAAGTAACTAGATTAAGGTAAAAAGCAGTTTTTTAAAAATATGATTTAATTGTGAACACGTGTTAATAATTACGGGAGAAAATGTTTCATTTTATTTAAATCTACACATAAATGCCCTACACACAAAAATTAATTCATCATTAGATATATAGCAAAAATTATATAATAAGTGGGTCAAACGTTTAAATTTCTAACAAAAAATTGGTCTAAAGAGTTTAGACAGTACTTCCCTCGCTGTCGGAAACGTGACGACTGCATGCCTATTATGTTTTTTCATTACTTTTTTGTAGCGGGGTATTTTAAAATAAATTGAGTATTAATTTTTTCAATTTTATCATTATTTGGCATTGACATCTTTGTCATTTTTTTGTGATTGCTATGATTGCTTATAAAAAAAAAATTGGACGAAGTCGTCTCTGGGGTGTATAATATGTTGCCAATGCAAATATTGTCAGACATTAGGTAACAGATAAAAGGAACACCCTGTATAGTACTTGTAATTTAAGACAAATACGTCTGCAAGATTTCGAAGTACATATTCAATTTTGCAACTCTTGATTTAATCAATAAAATTAATTGACTCAGTCATTAATTTTTTTCAGACACCCCGTATAAGCAAATCTAAAAAATATGAATGCAGTGATAAATCACAAGTCTCAGACTCATCATTCTTTACACATTTAAGATAGATTTAGAATTAAGATTTTTCAGCAAAATTTTGCGGCGGCGTCATCAATTTGTTAGAGGGAATGAGCAAATACATTTTGATCAAAATTTTACCATACTTATAAATTTAAAACCTCTCCAAGATTTCAAAACATTCGGTTTTGTAGTTCCTGATTAAATCAATAAAATAAATTCACGCATTCATTAATTTTTTTTGAGTCACCCTGTATATGCAAATCCAAAAAATATGAATCGCATGATAAAACACAAGTACAAACTCATCATATTTTGTACATTTTAGATAAAATTTATTCGGCAAACTTTCGAGCTGACGTCATCATAAGTAAATATATTTTGATTAGAAATTTATCATGCTTATCATAACTATAAACCATCTGCAAGATTTCAAAGCATTGGGTTTTGCAGAATCAAAATTAAATTGCAAAATGTGGTTTCATTATTTTTATTTTTTTTCAAAAAATCTGGACGTTTCGGCTAAAAACTCAATTCGGAGTCATAAACTACATGTGTAGGACTATGTTATTTTATACAATTTATAACCCATTAACTATGTACAATTTTGAAGTGACGTCATCGCATTAGTAGTAGGGATGATTAGACAAATTTTGGTTAGCGTTTTACCATCTACATGATATTCCAGTATTTTCGGAGATTATCTGTCTAATAAAAATCCGGGACGGCAGACAGACGGACAGGCGGACAGACGGACAGACGGACAGACAGACGGAAACGGGAGACCTATTTCTTCGTCTTGTAGGGGTCATGAAAGGTCGAGAAAACGTAAAAGTAGAGACTCGGCCGACGGACTCGATTACAATACTTCCTTTGTTTACGCTCGGGAAGTAAAAAGACAAGAGTAAAAAGCGAAATAAATAAATTTAGTTCCAGCTGACCACTTTCAAATGAAAACATTTCCGCAAATGAACGAAAAACAATGGTTTCACTTTTAACCCATGGGAAATAACCTTGACATTTTAATGGTTGGTTTTACCTGAACTTGGTTGTAGATAAATAATCATCGCGTTAATACAGCCCGTGCCAAATAATAATTTTAAAATGCTTTTAATTCCAAAACTGTAACAGTGCATGCGAACAAAAAATTTCCCAAAGGCCAATCAGCAAAAAAAAATTCTCATTCATATTAATTTAGCAATAACAATCATTATTATCTATCTATCTATCTATCTATCTATAGCTAAAGGTCCGATTAGGCAAAATTGACCGGTAAACAGTGAATCGAAGACTAATTTCAAAAGTCCCCGAGAATCAATACCTCTCGAAAATTTCTGTTAATCTAGTTTCATATTACATTAAACCGACATTACGACAATTTCATCATTATAGTCCACAAAACTTCGCCTATTAAGAAACTTAATGGAATATTTATGAAACGAAACTATACGTCCTCTTTTAAAACAAACAGTTCCAAATTCCCCAAAGATTTCTACTTGCACTTAGTCAGACAGCAAGTACCAATAATGATTAGTTTTCACTTTCTTCACTTAACCCATTACCCATTGTATTGCAGTGTCAGTACTTGCTGTTTAATTGTGCACGCACATTACGCCTCGAATAGTCCGTGGTATTTACTAGAATTTCAAGCAGGTGAGTTATATTAAAGTTTATAACCTTGCCCGAAGGTAAATTTTCCCAACATTTTTTATTGCATCAAATTAATTATACGTTGATGATAAATTGATATCAGAAATCGTTTCATTTTAACGCAATTTGTTTCTACACTCGACTCAAACGAGACTATTTTATTACTTATTCATGTCCTTTGTACCGTACTTATATTTTCGTTGCTCTCTAATGTCCACTAATCACCAACTCATCCAGTATGAACCCATTTTCTATTTACTAGAAAAATCAATCGCGCCCGCGTTTACCATCAGTCCAGTGCTGGTAAGTACGACTGTCCCAACTCCCTTTCATTTTCGTGGCTTTTCCTTGACATCCCTTCTAAAAAATCTAACTGGTTTTAACAAGGACAATGTTGTTTGTTATAGGATGCTAATACCAACTTTAAATTTAAACTATTCACTTCTGATACAAACTCTCGTCGGCGCTTTCGTGATACTCGTCGTTTTAATAAAGTTCTTCAACCGCGGAACGTACGCAAAATTCGCGAAAATGGACCGGAAAACCGTCATCATCACCGGAGGGAACGGTGGCATCGGGAAAGAAACGGCCAAAGAAATTGCCAGAAGAGGGGCGAGGGTGATTTTGGCGTGTCGAAATCTGGAAACTGCGAAAAAGGCTCGGGATGAAATTGTGGAACAGACGAATAATCAGGATGTGGTTGTGAAAAAACTGGATTTGTCGTCGCAGAAGTCGATTCGAGAGTTCGCCGAGGATATTTTGAAGACGGAGGCTAAGTTAGATGTTCTTTTGCATAATGCGGGGATGGCTACTGATAAGATACAGATGACGGAAGATAATCTTGAGCTGACGATGGCCACTAACCATTTCGGGCCGTTTTTATTAACGCATCTTTTGATTGGTGAGTAAATACTTATACACGTCATGTATAGTGGACTATTTTTGAAATATGTAACGGTGCTTTTTGTGACCACTATGCTAGGTGAGTCACTAAGTGCGCAGTCTTCGATATCTCATTAATTATTATTATTAGAGATGGAAAGAAGTCAGAGATTAAAGTTATACGGTTCTTTCAGTGGTATACATTAAATTAATTTCGACTATATAGAGTGTTTTGTTTTCGAGGCATAGCACACAAGTTAGTTTTTTAAATAGAATGCCCTGTATATTTTTATATATTATTATTAGCCTCTATCTTAGCTTTATAATGACAGTTTATTTTTGAAATTTCAATGCAACGTTGTCTATTCCAATGTTTTTGATTTTTTTTTTAGCAAAGCAAAGGTTCACAGAAAAATCGAAATCACGTTATTTTTAAGATTTTTATAGCAATATTTTCTGAAGACAAACAGAGGTATCCCATTTGTTGTTGTGTTAGCAATTAAATAAAATTTTTAAATGCAGAGTGTTTATAAAAATAATTAAACTTTACAGTTTTCAGATATCGATACATATTTCACTTTTGTCATTAGACAAACACCCTGTATTGTGTTGCTACACGCTACTATATTTTTTGTTCTCTTATTTTCAATATGTCCGTGTGTTCCTTAAAATAGTAAAAACATTATAATAATTAATAACTTTAAAAATAGAAAACATTTAAAAAAAATAGAACCCTTTCATTAATAAAAATGTGAAATTGTAATTGGTTATAAAACCTAGGAGATAAATCGGAATTCGCAATATATAAAAATATAAAGGTGTTTAGTGTTACGCCTTAAAAACAAAAATCTGTCTACAGTTGAAAATAATTTTGGTATGTGGTTTTCATAAAATAAGATACTCCTAAACTTGTAGAGTATGAATCCGTATTAAGTTTTCACTCAAGTCATTCAGATTTTTGGAAAATCAATCAAAAGTGTATAACAACATTTTGTAATTTAACTTTGAAACTGCAAAACTGAATGCTCTGAATTCTCGTAAACGTTTAAGGTTATCGTAAATCGTTAATCAAAATTTATTCGTTTATCCCCTCCTAAAAAATTAATGACGTCATATCAAAATTTTGCCGAATAAATCCTCTTTGAAATATGTAAAATACTATGGGTCTTTACTTGTGATTTATCACTTTTGTTCAGTGCACTCATGATTTTTAGAATTATATATACAGGTGAGTCAAAAAAAAAATAAATAAATGAGGCAATTTAAGTAGATTATTGATTAAATCAAGAACGAATCACTTCATTTTCCCGAAAATTTGGGAATATAGTTCTGTTATTATTAGTATTGCACAGCACCTACTCAAATTGATATGCGTGGCAAAAAATTTTGTAATGCTACTGTAAAACTTCCTTGAAACAAATTCGTAACACGCTTCTTTATCTTTATTTTAACATCACATACATATTGTTAATTTAACTTATAAGGTAAAAATAAAATTCGTAAAATCAAATCTTAAATTTTTAGAAAAATCTGGATTTGTTGTGCTGTACTTCAGGGGCGGGGGATGTTCTGTCGAAATAACCTTCAACCAATTTTTTTCCATCTCTAATAATAATGCATATATATGGAAGAGCGCGCGCTCAGTTACTCACCTGTAATTTTAACGATATTCACCGTTTTTCAGAGCTTGTATTAAAAAATCGTATACATTTCGACCGGTTTTTTAAGTTTGTTGCAGTTGCAGCCATAAAAAACTGGACCACTAGGTTTGACCAACTTTTCTAAATTAAAAAAAAATAGATAGTATTTTGTTTGACAAATATAAATAATTCTGACAAAATCAAAAGACAAAAAAAAATGTAAAACTCTAACATGACCAATTCTTGGAAGGGACGCTTTGCTGCATTCTAGATCACACATTTTTCATTTATTAATCTAATAATACTTTAATTTCTTTGATTCGTTATCTAATTAATATCCAAATGTTATTTCGATTTTCTAGAATAACTCTCTTATAAACAAAACCAAATCCTTTTATGTCTATTTTATTTGTTAGTTCTCTAGTTTTACTATTTTTGATAATTCGATGATATTGATAATTGATAGGAATTTTCTTATCTTTATTCGTTTTTTACACTGTGCCGGCTTTCCTGGATTTTTCCAAAATATCATTTTATGATATATATTTTTAAACTGCTAACATGCAAATTAAATGAAAAAAATTGGTCTAAAGGGTTTAGAGAGTACTTCACTCGCTGTCGGAAACGTGACGACTGCATGCCTAAATTTGCTCATTCATTAAATTTTTTGAGCCACCCTCTATATCCAAATCCAAAAAATATGAATGGAATAATAAATTACAAGAAGAGACTCATCATATTTTGTACATTTTAGATAGGATTATTCGACAAACTTTTGAGCTGACGTCATTAATTTTTTGGAGGGGATAAGCAAATATATTTTTACTAAAAATTTATTATGCTCTTTATAACCTTAAAACATTTGCAAGATTTCAAAGCATTCGGTTCTGTAGTTCCTGATTAAATCAATAAAATAAATTTACCCATTCATTAATTTTTTAGGTCACCCTGTATATGCAAATCGAAAAAATATGAATGGAGTGATAAATCACAAGAAGAGACTCATCATATTTTGTACATTTTAGATGGGATTTATTTAGCAAAATTTTGGGGTGACGTCATCCATTTTTTAGGGGGGATCAGCAAATATATTTTAATAAAAAATTGACCATGTTTATGATAAATTTAAAACATTTCCAAGATTTCAAAGCATTCGGTTTTGTACTTCCTGATTAAATCAATAAAATAAATTTGCGCATTCATTAAATTTTTTGAGTCACCCTGTATATGCAAATCCAAAAAATATGAATGGAATTATAAATTACAAGAAGAGACTCATCATATTTTGTACATTTTTGATAGGATTATTCGGAAAACTTTTGAGCTGACGTCATCAATTTTTTGGAGGGGATAAGCAAACATATTTTGACTAAAAATTTATTATCCTCTTTATAACCTTAAAATATTTGCAAGATCTCAAAACATTCGGTTCTGTAGTTCCTGATTAAATCAATAAAATAAATTTACCCATTCATTAATTTTTTAGGTCACCCTGTATATGCAAATCGAAAAAATATTAAAGGAGTGATAAACCACAAGAAGAGACTCATCATATTTTGTACATTTTAGATAGGATTTATTTAGCAAAATTTTGGGGTGACGTCATCCATTTTTTAGGGGGGATGAGCAAATATATTTTAATCAAAAATTTACCATGTTTATGATAAATTTAAAACATTTCCAAGATTTCAAAGCATTTGGTTTTGTACTTCCTGATTAAATCAATAAAATAAATTTGCACATTCATTAAATTTTTTGAGTCACCCTGTATATGCAAATCCAAATATGAATGGAATTATAAATTACAAGAAGAGACTCATCATATTTTGTACATTTTAGATAGGATTATTCGGAAAACTTTTGAGCTGACGTCATCAATTTTTTGGAGGGGATAAGCAAACATATTTTGACTAAAAATTTATTATCCTCTTTACAAACTTAAAATATTTGCAAGATCTCAAAGCATTCGGTTCTGTAGTTCCTGATTAAATCAATAAAATAAATTCACGCATTCATTAATTTTTTTGGGTCACCCTGTATATGCATATCCAAAAAATATGAAAGGAATGATAGATCACAAGTACAAACTCATCATATTTTGTACATTTTAGATAGGATTTATTCGGCAAACTTTTGAGCTGACGTCAACAATTTTTTGGAAGGGACAACTAAATATATTGTGATTAAAATTTTATCATGCTTATCATAACTGTAAACCATCTGCAAGATTTCAAAGCATTCGGTTTTGTAGATTCCAAATTAAATGTCAAAATGTTGTTGCATAATTTTGATTTTTTTTCCAAAAATCTTCGACGTTTCGGGTAAAATCTCAATTCGGACTCAAAAACTACATGTCTAAGACTATATTATTTGATACAATTTAAAACTTAATTACTATGTACAATTTTGAAGTGACGTCATTACATTAGTGGTGGGGATGATTAGACAAATTTTGGTTAGGGTTTTACCATCTACACGATATACCTAATATAAACACAAAATTTGACAACAATCGGCCCAGTACTTTCGGAGATTATCTGTCTAATAAAAATCCAGGACGGCAGACAGACGGACAGACGGACAGACAGGCGGAAACTGGAGACCCATTTCTTCGTCTTCTAGGGGTCATGAAAGATCGAGAAAATGTAAAAATAGAGAGTCGGCCGACGGACTCGATTACAATACTTCCTTTGCTTACGCTCGGGAAGTAAAAAGCTGTCTAAGTAATGGAATTACTGGATTTAATGGCAAATAAAAAATATTGTAGGGGTTATACAAGTTTATTGATACTTATATAGATCAGTACAACTTAAAAATAGGGATTGTTCCTCTTGTGAACGTCAGAGTCCGGACGGGATTTTGCTACTCTATATAATTTGCAGCTTCGTAGGGCGGGTGGAATTTGTAGCTCGATGCAGTCCCCTCGTTACGGGTTGCGTTGAACTGCGGCTTTCCGCGCAATTCACTCTTCAGGGAAGGAATCGCGTCATTCGGCGCAATCGCCTCAGTACAAATCTAAGGGGAGTATTAACAGTACCATTATGACTATAAAGGTGGTCTATAAGTAACAATTAACTTGTAGAATTATACTGTCGAAAACTTACTGGGTCTGATTTATATATATTATTTTAAAAATTATAAAAACTATTGCTTTTGTGTCTAAAAAATCAATTATGCCCATTTTAATCATTTTAATTAATAACTATAGAATGTATTGATTTTATACCTAAAAATCAAATTGTCCTGAACAGGTATACTTATATTGTACAGACAGATTTGTTCATCATCTTTGGGATGCAAATTGTTTTCGTAACAATTTGTCCATAGTACAGTTAATTATTAATTTTACAGGCAATTTGTTGCGTGTTAATTTTAAATTTTGGTTTGACACTAGCATTGCTAAATTTTAAAACTACGTATAACAAATATTGTTGATCATATAACAGCTGAAACCTGTTATTGTAAATAACGCTGATGATACTTTCTAAAAACTATTTGCTGCTACCGCAAGAAATCTTTTCAAAGCGTATTGTTATTATTTCAATGTATATAGACACTTATTACTGCTTTAAAGAGTTGTGGATAAAAATAGTAAACTAAAAATATATTGACAGAAGAAGAAAGAAGGAATGAAATACATTTTTTATGATATCTGTTTGTGTAAACACCAATCGAAAATCATGAAACGTTCTCACGGTATTCAACGAAAAATTGTACTCTGGTCTCATTAAGTCATTACTTTATTTTTTTATTAAGCATATTTTCTGAATTATTAAGTTTGGTAGACATAATTGATCGATTTGAGGTAAAATATACTTTGTGAAACACTCAAACACAATAGTAGTTACCTATAATAATCATTCATAAATAAAGTGTGGTCAATAAAAAAACGTCTTCAAGTCGGCGCTTCATGTTTGGAGAAAAACAATTGAACATCCAGCGCCAGTTAGAGGTCAATTTTTGTTGATGATGATCACATACAATGTGTTGTTGTACTGAAACAGACAAAAAAATTGTTTAGGTATACACAAATAAAGGTCAACAACTTGAATATTTTCGTCAGTGATATAATATGCATGTATGTGTTTAATTAAAAATTGTATAAGTGCGTCACCAGACTTTGGTTAAATTATTCAGCTATGCAGTTATGCATTTTAATTTTACCATGTGGAATTTTTGTCTTAATGGTATAGATACATATATTATGGTTATAAAGTACAGTCATCAGTCTAGAAATTGGCAGTTCATAGCCATCTAGCAGCGTTTAAATCTCTAGCCTATGATTACGTACTTTTAGCTACCAATGTATAAAGCCGATGTAATAGTTTTCATTTATCATTGCACTTTAACAGTAATAACAAAATACTATCGATCCTAACAATGGAACTTTTTTTGTGTTGACCTTCAGAGCTAATACAATCACCCGGGTAAATCTTTCATATAAAATATATTGTTTACAGACTGTCACAAAAAGTGAAATGTAGTGTAACACTATCGATTAAATTTTATTTTGTAGTTTTTGTCAAAATATGAGCGACGATTAATTTTCTCAAGTTCAAGTCCACATGGATATATGTTTTTATTCGACAAATTTATTTATTTGTTGACGACATTGTCCATAATAAATTCAGATTAATTTGTGATAAATGATACATTACAACAAATACCTAACTTTATTACAATACAAAATTTAAGGATCTTTCATGCTTTATTAGAATTAAACATCTAGCACCTCTATATTTCTAATCATAGGTCCATTGTCAATAAATACGTCTCCCTTTTACACCTCAAATTTTTTTAATGCCTTAAAAACTATTATTGCTATCACAATTTTCAAAATGGTAATAAAATTTCTCAAAATTGTCTTTAAAATATGACTCGCGTGAGAATAATTGTCTTTTTACTTCCCAAAGGTAGGCGAATGGCTAATTTCATGATTCCTCAACTTTTTTTAGTTACTAGAGTTTGAAAAAGTAGATCTACCGTTTGTGTCTGTCTGTTTTCTGTTGGCGAAGACTGATTGTTATAAAATTTTTTGCTATGTGTTTTTATGTGGATATTTACATGATTGTAATTAAATTCTGTTAGAACCATGAATAGGTACTTAAAAATTTCAACTGAACTGTTTATAAACAATAAAACAATAATTATTATTACACATGTTGATGTGTAATAGTCAAAGTTTTACACATTACAGATAAAAAATTCATTCATTAACTGGTCTTACAGTAATTATACTCAATGAGTGGGACTGTGACGTCGAATGCGATTCGATTCATTGTTATTTCATTAATTGCCCTTTTAGCAAATTACAAAGTGACTACCAGTCACAACTACAGTTGAAACCGAAAGTAGATCAAAAATTTACCGAAGGTCAATAATATCACAAAAAATTGCAAATTATTTAATCAGTTTAATGGCAGGCGTAAATGTTTACAAATCACGCAACTCTAATACAACTTAAATTAGTAATTAAACTTGTTTTGTTTATTTTTGTCAATAAAACACAAAAATATAATGAAACAACATTTCATATTTAAAAAGGTAAACAAGGAGAACTCGCAAAAAACGAGAAAACATGAAATTACGTAAACAAATAGTAGTTAGACAGCATGTTGCCATTCACATTTTGAATTTCCTCAAAAACAGTCTCACAAAGCAATAAATTTTTATGCACTAATACATATATTTCAACAACAGTAGTTCTCCGTTACGCAACACCAGAACAGACCCTGAAACCTGGACAAACCCATACGGAATTCAAACCTCAAAATCCCAACGACGCATAACTCGCGTAATGGAATTTTACATTTCCGTATTTTTGCAGATCTCCTCAAAAAGTCGGCCCCCAGCCGCATCGTAGTCGTAGCCTCCGAACTCTACCGGCTTGTCTCTCTTAACCTCGACAACATCAACCCAACAAGGTCATGGTTCGTCCCACGTCTGTATTACGTCTCAAAGTACGCAAATATCTGCTTTACCAAAGAACTGGCTCGCCGCCTCGACGATACCGGGGTTACGGCAAACTGTGTACACCCGGGGCTCATCAACACGGGCATTTGGGACAGCGCTCCGGCTTGTTGCAGATGGGCTGTGAGGCTTGTAGTTAAGGGTTTCTTCAAAACACCCGTGGAGGGGGCACAGACGAGCATTTATGTGGCTTGTTCTGAAGAAGTTGAAGGTGTTACGGGGAAATACTTCGCGAACTGTAAGGAGAAAGGGGTCAGTAGAGGGGCTGACGATGAAGAGAAAGCTAAGAAGTTGTGGGAGTTGTCGGAGGGGTTGGTTAATTTGAGGCCTACCGATCCGAAGATATGAAAAAGAGATTATGTACAAATGTTCTTGTTAATATATATAGTTTGACAAATAGGTGTAATTTTTTTATGTTATAGTATATTGTTGTGTTCTGTAAACAATTTGTTACGTAACAGATGACTTGAACCGGTCTCTTGGTTCTACGCTGTATTTAATATAAATCAATAAATAATTACAGGTGCCATCATTTTCTTGTCCACACAGGTTTGCGTGTGTTGTTGTTAAACGATGTTCAAATATGACTCAGAACATCATAATTATCCTGATCAGAAACAAAAACGCTTTTGTGTATTTTTGCAATTTTTAAAATCTGAGCGAACATCGAAAATACATTCTCCGAACTACTATTTGTATTATCCGCCCTTATTTTTTGCTTTGGGTACTTACATTTGTGGGTATACAAAAATCGTAAATGCTAATGTTATGGCAAATATGTATAGTAAATCGCCAATTAGAACAGGTCTATTTATTCGCTCTAACAACTTTTATGACTTCAGCGGCTTACGCCAAACCACCCTTATAAGTCAAACTGGCTATTGTATAACTTAACTTAGTTGACATATACGTAGTAAAACTTTTCAAATCCATTATGACAACTGTTCCGTCTTCGCGAACACATTTATTACCCCAAAAATCCCCATATCGGTTTGGGCCACACCCATAGGGTCCACATATGGGAAAGGCAGTAGCTTACGGTATTCGGCCGTAATAACATCTCGAGCTACCAGTGCCTGTTTACACCCTTTGAACACTTTATTCGTTGTTTTGTGCAGTTTCTCCATAATTATTCTTCAATCATCGCTTCGCCAGGGGATCCCCAAAGCAACCGAATCATCGCATCTTGAATCATCGAGCCCGGGTAGGTCCACAAACCATAGTGGGGGTTTCGTTACCTGTCGGCTCCATAATTTCGCGGTTAACGAGTACAACAACAATGGACAGTAATAATCCTTGCGGTTCTGGTCCACAAAGCTTACAATAGCCAGTTTGACTTCTAAGGGTGGTTTGGCTTAAGGCGCTAAATTCATAAAAGTTTTGCTAAGTGTATGTCAAGTGAGTTTAATCTACATTGTTGTTTATCAATATTCTTGTTAATCTAACGTTGCTTTTGAAAAAATAAACAATATTATTATATTATTACCATAAAGATAAGTAATATTTGGAAAAGTAACTTATATAATTTAATAATAATAAAATATTGCGTAAAGACTTAATGGAAGAACTGGGCACATACAAGATATCTTTTCCATGTGATGATGGAGATTTTCTGAAAGAATTCCAATTCTTGTAGTGACTATTTGCACACGGATATAAGAATATTAATTAGTTATACACATATGGATTATAAATATATGACATTATATCTCTCCGTGTGGAGAGTTCCTGAAGTAATTCAACATCTATGATATTACGATATTCCATCTCCATGGCACAATATATTCCATGGAGTATGTAATTAAAGCCCATAATCAATTTTGGAATAAGAACATCCAAAAAGAAGTGGAATCATGACAGTTAATTAACGAATTTTAAAACATTAAAGTGACGGCTACTGATCGGATAAATCTAAAAGGTGTTTCAAAATAACTTTCATCTAGTTCTAGTTAGCTTTAAAATTACTTCAACTCCTATCTTTCCCTTGATGAAAATCTGCAACCATAGACGACTAGATGAAAATCATTTTGAAACACGTTGTATTTGAATGAGTGGGTTCAAAAAGTACGAAACTGGTTTTGGAAAAACTTTTTTATTAAGAATTTTATGTATCTAACGTTTAGGAGACGCCTTCACACAGGTTGCAAAAATAATAGAATCTAACTTTATGTTAAAGTCATATTCATGAATTGTTATAACATAATTTGGACACAAAGAATTATCACGAAAATAGCCTTGAAAACACTTGTAAGCACACTGAGTCTTATGATAATAATAATTGTAATTGCAAAAAAACGTGAAAAATTGGTGCAAATTCAACAGTTGTTGTGGTTAGATAACCAACAATACTGCAACTTTTGAATTATTTACAATCTATCTATCTAATAAAAACTCAAATCAATTATGTTTCAAAACAAAACTGATCCACACATTATATCAGGTGTACAATAAATACTTAATATATTTGGAGCAGGCCGTGGAGTACTTATTTGCAGTTTATTTATAACAGAGTAATTATTTGTGAAAACTAAGTAGGCAACTGAATATACTTTAAACAATGGTTTGCAAACCTTTATTATTGATTGTACCCTAAAATCTATATTAATAAAAATGAATCGCCGAAATGTATGTTCGCTCATAACTTCAGAACGACTGCACCGAATTGGACGATTCTTTTTTTTACGTGTACCTTATTGTCAGGACAAGGTTTATATGTAAGAAAATTTATAAAAAATAAGACGGCTAAAAGATAAAAAAATTTTAAAAATTTTGCATGGGAATCGCCACTTCGAATGAATTTGAATAGTTGGCGTTCCTGACGGACCTGTCGCCTAACTGACGTGTCATACAAAACTATTTCTTCCGTGCGATTGTGAAAAAAGTATTATTGCATTTCAAATCGTTCTTTGTTTTTTCGTAAAAAAAAACGTCGTTTATTTTAAGAAAAGTCTTAGTTAAAGTGAATTTAGTTACACATTGCGAAAGTGTCTTATTAATTTTGATCTGCCATTCTATTTACCTATGTTCACTTTGTTGGTTTCGACAAAACTTCAAACATTACCGTTATTCGAGGATTTAATTTGAAGTTTTCAATATTTTAAAATTCCCAAGACAAAATTTACAGATTTGATTGACTGTGAAAATAATTCTGTGTCGTTTTATGAAGTTCATTACAATGCCGAGAACACGACAAGCTGACATAAGTCCACGAAGTCAATCAAATGTGCGACGAACTACCTAAGGTGCAAATCGCGATGATTTATTTCAAGGGTAATTCGGATACGGAAGTTGATCAGCGTTGTGCTCATAATCAACATCATAATCAAACATTGAAGCGAGACATTGGACGATATGAATAAAACTGAGTAGATACTCATATTCGAAGTACGAAGTACCTACTTCATTATTACTCTTATACACCTGAGCATCTACCCGATGTACTGTGTATCTACTTGCAAAACATTGTATCTCCCCGGACACAAATTGAACATTTACGCGTTTTGTGAGCATTTAATCTAAAAATGAGCATCGGCGTGGCAAATGACTATTTGTCCTTATAAATGATAAATTAAATGTAATATATTTATTTTCCTTAAGAATATAGAGTTAACAAAGTTAGTTGAGTTACAAAAGTCTCTTTTGCTCCACGTTGGCCACCAACGAGCGATTTTCATGATTTTTGTGAAACTTTGCTGGTTTTGAATTTGAATTTTCTGTCCTCGATAGTTGATGCTCAGCAAGAACCACGGGAAGGTCTAGAGCAGATCTCGCTAGGAAAGGAGAGGGCTAGGAATTGTTAATGAGGGATAGAACGTTATACAGTACAATACAACGGAAATACAATACAGGTACCTACAATCTAGCTACAATACAGAATACACTACAGATACAGATACAATTCAGATACAATACAAATGCAAAGTTAGTATCCAATACACCACCGGAAGAAATTGCACCAAAAATTGAGAATGTTGCAAAATGAAAACCCAAGCAAGCACACCGATGGAACTCGGGACGAAATCTATTGGTCGCAGCGCTCACACGCCCAAGGGAGAACGCAGCCGCATAAATCCAAGGTCGTCTTACCTCATTCTCAAAGAACGATGCAACCCAGCGTCTAAGGGCCAAAAGAACCCCCCCAGGCCAAAGCGTCTGACAACATGGAGAATTCAAACCCGGAACCGAAGAATGCACTGTTGCAAAATTAATGCCCAAGCAAGCACACCGATGGAACTCGAAACGAAATCTATAGGTCGCAGCGCTCACACGCCCAAGGGAGAAATCAGCCGCATAGATACAGGGCCGACTGACCTCATCCGTTTAGGATGATGAACCTCATCCGTTTAGGATGATGACCCAGCGTCTAAGGGCCAACAGAACCCCCCCAGGCCAGAGCGTCTGACGACATGGAGAATTCAGTCTCGGAACCAAAGAATGCACTGTTGCAAAATTAAAACCCAAGCAAATGCACCGTGAAAACAAAGCATTTGCACCACTGGAGCTAAATTGGCAAGACCCAAGTTAAGTTAGTAACACATACAATATACAGTACAAAATGCTTCAATTACAAAAGTTACAATATACAAATTTCTCCACGTTTGCCAACAAAGAGCGATGACTCTGCTCGCTCGTTGCTGTTGCCCAGCAAGAACCAAACAATACGAGGAGGTCTGGAGTGCGTCTTGCCATTAAAAGAGAGGACTAGGGTTTGATAGCATGGGTGAAGGACACCGTATTTTGTAAATTTGGACGCCGTAGTTTAAAAATGATGCATACGGTATTTTGTAATTCATGAACGCTGCACTTTGTATATTCCAAAGCCGTACTTTATCAGTCCTGAATGCATGTTATTAACAACATATTTCAAAAAAATCGGGCATTTTTGGAAAAATATCCACTTTCCTTCGTGTTGACAGCACGTAACACAAAACATTTTCGCTAATATTTATTAACAATAAATTAGAAATTCGCGAACACGTGCTACTTTTAAGCCAAAACGGAGCTCCAGTGTTGGTGCTATCAGACCGGAATCAAAACTAAACACAGAGGATGGAAAAATTGACCTTTTATCAGGTAGCTCACGTGACAGTGACGTCATCGTACGTCACGATGAGATTGCAAAAATTATTTTAGATCAGAAATTGTACATTTTCGGGGTTAATTTAACAATGTTTAAACAAACTAATTTGTTTTTGCTAACCTCGTGTTCTTAGGAAGATAGATTTCGGTTTAATTATCATATATTGATAGTTATCATATTTGAACATTATGAATTCTATTAATTATGTTTAAATTTTATTTAATTATATCGCAAAAATGTATAGCTTTGACCCACCAACTTCAATCGTTTCGAAAATTTTTCCAAAACTTAAACATTGTCGAATTAACGAATCACGGAATCCGATAAATTAAAACTGAAGTCGTACTTACCTCGTTTTCGGTCCTTTTCGGAAAAATATCCATTTTCGTTCGCGTTCACAGCACTAACACAACATATTTTCCGTAATATTTATTAATAATAAAGTAG